ATGGGAATATGGGATTGGGAATATGGGAATGGGGACAGCATCAACCTGGGGATCGTGCTGTGCATCGAGTGCTCCGGGATACACCGGTGAGAAATGGGAATATGGGATTGGGAATATGGGATTAACTCAACCTGGGGATTGTGCTGTGCATCGAGTGCTCCGGGATACATCGGTGAGAAATGGGATTGGGATTGGGAATATGGGATTAACTCAACCTGGGCATCGTGCTGTGCATCGAGTGCTCGGGGGTACACCGGTAAATTATGGGATTGAGAAAATGGGATTGGGATTGGGAATGGGAATATGGGATTGGGAATGGGATCAACTCAACCTCGGGATTGTGCTGTGCATCGAGTGCTCCGGGATCCATAGGTAAATTATGGGATTGGGATTGGGAATATGGGATTGGGAATATGGGATTGGGAATATGGGATTGGGAATATGGGATTAACTCAACCTGGGCATTGTGCTGTGCATCGAGTGCTCCAGGATACATCGGTAAATTATGGGATTGGGATTGGGAATATGGGATTGGGAATGGGATCAACTCAACCTCGGGATCGTGCTCTGCATCGAGTGCTCCGGGATACACCGGTATGGGATTGGGATTGGGAATGGGAATATGGGAATGGGAATGGGATCAACTCAACCTGGGGATTGTGCTGTGCATCGAGTGCTCCGGGATACACCGGTGAGAAATGGGAATATGGGATTGGGAATATGGGATTAACTCAACCTGGGGATCGTGTTGTGCATCGAGTGCTCCGGGATACATCGGTAAGTGGGATTGGGAAAATGGGATTGGGAATATGGGATTGGGAATATGGGATAGGGATCAACCTGGGCATCGTAATGTGCATCGAGTGCTTGGGGATACACCGGTAAATGGGATTGGGATTGGGAATGGGAATATGGGATTAACTCAACCTGGGCATTGTGCTGTGCATCGAGTGCTCGGGGATACATCAGTGAGAAAACGGGAATATGGGATTGGGAAAATGGGATCAACCTGGGGATAGAGGGAGAGACGAGACCTGGGCTGATCCTGTTGGATAAATTCCAATTTTTATGGCTTTTGGGATAATTGGGGTTTTTCCCTCCTGGCCCCGCAGGAGCCTGGGCGTGCACTGCTCCAAGGTGCGGTCCCTCACGCTGGACTCGTGGGAGCCCGAGCTGCTGAAAGTGAGTGCTGGGGGGAGGAGAGGAGGGAATTCCCGAATTCTGGAATGAAGGAATCCCTGATTTCTGGAAGGAGGGAATTCCCAGTTCCCAGAAGGAGGGA